AGACTTCCCTGTGGGATGGGTCTGGCTATATATAACTTTGCTGCAAACAAATACATACTTCTCTTTCTCAATTAATTCCTTGCTATGTTTAAGCATTAAATAGCATCTGGAAAAAACTTTTTTTGATCTGGAAAAAACTAAATCAAAATTGAAAAACGGGTTTAAACTAAGTATACTTTTCACTTATTCTACATCACAACACATTTATACCAAACTCCTGTAAGCTTTTAAAATATTTCTTATTTCAGCAGCTTACCAGTTTTTCTTTTGCATCAGAGGGAGATCCAGAGCCAAACTCTCCACTGACAGGTCGCCAAGTCAGCAGCCTTGAAAAAAAACAGTACCAAATTTAGTAAGTTTGAAATACAAATCAGAACCGATATTCTAAAAAGTCCACCTCAATATGGTAGGTTTTTTGTTTGTTTTAATTTAAATTAATGGAAGCCAAACATGAAAAGGATCGGATATAGACACTTCCATAAATTAATAAAGTAGTTTCATGATTAAGTATACATTTTATTCTTTCACACATACTGAAAAATATAAGTACTGTGTTTTTTTGAACGTCAACGTTTCTGCTGATTGCCTTGGACGGACAACTGGATTACGTGAAGGTGAATTAATTTTTCTCAGAAATATTGGATTTGGCTTTAGCCAGTGCTCTATTGCCATTAGCGGGCCTTGTTCTTTCACATTGCCTTAAGCTTTACCTGGAACAAGGAATGAATCTACCCCAGGACAAATCAGCATGAACGTCTGGAGATGTTTTGCATTCTCCGTTTGGGATATGCTCCAGCATTTTGGTTCTATTTCCACTTAGGATTCAACACTTCCACTTAGGATTCATTGCTGGTATGAGGTACCAAGTCACTGACAATACTTCTGATTTCCTCTCTGCTGTTTTCCCACAGCACGCTGCTGTCCTTAGGATCTTTGCCTTAAGCACTAAAAAATTTCTACATTAATTGTAAAACTGTAATTTATTACGGCTGTCTGTGCCTGCCAAGAATTGAGGGGAATTGGATTAAATAACCTAATTCGTCCCATCATCTCTTTTTCTATCAAATCTATTGCTATAAAGTAAGATTAAAGTTATTTGTCATTGTTAAGATCTCAAACTATTTAGCCTCAATCTGTGTGAGGCAACGCTTGATGGACATTTGTGTCTGTGTATCCTAAGTGAGATCTTTCCCACTGTGTTAAGGATCCTAAATTAACATATCACTGATCCCCATAAAACTAAAGACCCCATAACGATAAAAAGACAAACCAGAGATAAGAAAAGATAAAATCTTGAGGCATGTAGCAAGACAACAAATAAAGCAGAGCAGAGAACTGAACTGATTCTTGAAAGCTACCAGGACACAAATTGCAGATTATTCTGGATTAGAGGTTGCTAAATACAGTGTAATTTATCTTGGGCTATGAAGTCTTAAATTCCCTCTGCCAAAGGAGGTATTGGAATAACGAGCCATTACGAGCCAGAAGAGGCCCGATCATCGTAATTTGTGCAAGGAACTAATTCTAACTCTTGAATTTCCCGAGGACAAGAAGGCATTCACCCTGGCTTTCTCAGCGCCAGTGAGTCAAGACTTGCTCTCATAAAGCTGCAGAAAATTTCAATTAAAAAAATTATAAACAGCTAGAAATTAAATAAAAAGAAGAATCAAAGAAACTATTAAAATGAGCTAACGAAGTATGGGCTGGGTGAGCAAACAGTGAGGTGGATTGAAAACTGGCTAACAGTCAAGCCAAGAGGGTGGTGATCAGGGGCATAAAGTCTAGTTGGAGGCCAGTAACTAGTCGTGTACCACAAGGGTCAATACTGGGTCCAATTCTGTTCAACATCTTCATTAATGATCTGGATGATGGGGCAGAGTGGACCCTCAGCAAGTTTGCTGCTGACACAAAAGTGGGAGGAGTGGCTGATTCACCAGAGGGTCGTGCTGCCACCCAGAGGTACCTTGACAGGCTGGAGAAATGGGCTGACAGGAACCTCATGCAGTTCAACAAGGAGAAGTGCAAAGTTCTGCACCCGGGGAGGAACAACCCCATGCACCAGTACATGCTGGGGGCCACCCAGCTGGAAAGCAGCTTGGCAGAGAAGGCCCTGGGGGTCCTGGTAGACACCAGGTTGGACATGAATCAGTAATGTGCTCTTGCTGCAAAGAAAGCAAATGGTATCCTGGGCTGCATTAGGAGAGTTGCCAGCAGGTGGAGGGAGGTGATCCTACCCCTCTACTCAGCACTATGTCCAGTCCTGGGCTCCCCAGTACAAGAGAGACATGGACGTATCAGAGAGAGTCCAGCAAAAGGCCATGAAGATGATTAAGGGACTGGAGCATCTCTCCTATGAGGAAAGGCTGAGAGCTGGGACTGTTCAGCCTGGAGAAGAGAAGGCTTAAGAGGGATCTCGTCAATGTATATAAATACTGAAGGGAAGATGCAAAGAGGACAGAGCCAGGCTTTTTCCAGTGGTGCCCAGTGACAGGACAAAAGGCAACAGGCACAAACTGAAAGACAGGAGGTTCCCTCTGAACATCAGGAAACACTTTTTCACTGTGAGGGTGACTGAGCACTGGCACAGGTTACCCAGGGAGGCTGTGGAGCTTCCCTCCCTGGAGATATTCAAAAGCCTGGACATGGTCCTGAGGAAACTGCTCTGGGTGGCCCTGCTTGAGCAGGGAGTCCGTTCCAACCTCAGCCATTCTGTATGATTCTGTATTAGTATCTTTAGCTATCAACACCTCAACGATTTTGTGGACGCTTGGCAGGAGTACAGTTTGGGCTTTTCTAGTACGTGATCCTTGCTGAAATTGGTAGCTGAGTAAATATTCTAGTACTAAGTTTTCTAAACAAGGAAATAATATGATCACGTCTCTTTGCAAAAAGGTAACTTGCCAAGAACCAGCAGAGGCTAGTACTGCAACTAAGAACTCCTGCACCCAATGCTGCAACTCTTAAATTGAAGAAGTAAGTTCCACAATACTTGGAAGATGTTTTATATGAATGCTAAAAAAGAACAGATGTAATCCTACCTGATCAGATTAATAAAAACCTCTGCCAGAAGATACTTTACACTCCAAAGATTCATAGAATCTGACTATTTCAAGACAATTCGCAATAAAGCACTTGCCCATAAAACTTTCACATATACTACTGTGTGATTCGTCTCTATCTTCATTTCAACATCAACTATTGTGTTACTTCCAGACATGGGAAAACAAAGGGAAAAGGAGCATTTGCCTTCTTCCCTAAGTACTGGGGCAGCCTCCACAACAAGCTGGGTATTAAAACTGTGTTGTCAAAAAAAAAAAAAAAAAAAAAAAAAAAAAAGTAAGGCTGGGACAGCAGGAAAAGCTCCACCGCAAAAATAAGGCTAATAGAGGGACTAAGAAATACAAACATGAAATGCCAGCCAAACCAGGAGTCACAGAAAAAGAACCAGATCCCACAAAGAGAGGAAAAAAAGAAGGAGCTACACAGGAGAAAGAAGTATCTTCCTAGGGCTCAAAAAGAGAAGAAAAAAAAAAAGAGTACAAAGTCTCCATTAAAAAGATGAAAAAATACCTGTATGTTGTTATCATAATTTTCTCCTACCCCTCTACAAAGCTTCAGCTTTAATCAAATATGGTCAAAGTGAAAAGACTGTTCTGAGCAGTTTTGTGTCACCCAACAATTGTTTGGAAAAGAGCAGGCGTACTTTCACCATGGGGAAGGAGACTGATCACATATGCTGAAAGGATTACTCATGTATAAAATCCAAGTAAGATTTACTTTACCCTGCAAAAGTTGGGAACCTCCCAGAAATACAAGAAGGAATAATATAATGAAGTTCCCAAAGAAGGCATAGAAAGATTAAAAAAAGAGATGGGAAGTAAAGAATGGAAATCTATGGAAGGAGTCAGATACCGTCCTAGGAAAAATAACCCATTTGAAAAGCAGAAGTGCCATAAACATCAAAGGGAATAATGCACATATTTCAAATCAGATACAGCTAAAGGCAACAAAAGTATTTTGAATGTGTCTAAATACTAAGATATCCAAAATGCTGCTCTAGAAGGGTTTCTAATACTCAACTATAAGAATACCCAGAAACCTAAGTTTTGATCATATGTGGAAACCAAAGCAAATGTTCTGCCAGTGAGTATTCACTTAAAAATCTTTCCAAGTACAGGACATAGTAAGTTAGGTGTAATTCAACTGGACTTTTACATCCAAAGATTTGGTATCAAATTTTATTTTTGGCAGTTACCAAAATGCAAAAAAAAAAAAAAAAATCTTGCTAACTCCCAGATCTTTCAGCTTTATTTTAGTATTATTTTTTGGATGCAAGTAATACATACCTACTCACGTAGAAAAGTAGGTGAGGTAGTGACAGATTGATTAACTTATCTTTTAAGCATGAATGAAGCTCTCTTACACTGCTATCCTATACATAATTCTAAAATTAAGGAAAGACTGATGTGCAGAAGGTTCCCTTTTGATTCAGTTTTCTTCAGGCCTGACCTAGGTGATACCCAGAAGCAAACGCTATGAACTAGTTGACAGACATCAGACAAGTACTAATACAACTGTTCAACATTAAGACTATCAGATTTGAAAACAAGTAGGGTTTCACCTCAGTGTTGGTAGGGTAGAGGAAAAAAAACCTCATCTTTGGTATAATGTTGGATGTGATTTCTTGTTATTCTGCTCTATGATGTATATGTTTAACATACTAGTGAGAATAGTACAGCCTCGTTCCAAGAAACTTCACATAGAGTTGTAAAATGAAGGCAAAGACAGTTACCAAATATGCAAGATAATTTTCATAAAAAGATTAGAAACATATGAGGGAAGTTAACCATCAACCACAGAGACTTAAATCTGTAAGATTGTTGCAGTATTTTAGTATTTTGTGAAAAAACTTCACGTGTAATTACAAATTGCAAAGTCTGCCCACCAATAGCATTCTTCTATTATAAAAAGAAAATGACCAAAAAAGTCAGATAATACTTCTCAAAAAATCCAACATTTTAAAATTGAATCAAGGTACAGTTTTGTTTTTTTTTTTTGTTGTTGGGTTTTTTTTTTTTTTACTTATCTCCCATATGGTATTTCTAGTTTTTAACAGTTTAACACTTACAACACAGAAGTAGTATATCTAGCACCTAATTTATCATTATGTTCCAAGAAAGTCTGCTTCTATGTGGTCCACACACAACAGCTTTTTTTTTTTGTTCACCCCACCTATTAGATATCTAACAGTTTGAATTCACTAAGTCATCTAGCTAAACTATTCTACAAAGTATAAATATTAACAGTCGTCTTACGCATGAGGGATTGTAGTTTTGAAAATATCCAGCATGCAAGTACAAGTTTTATCCCAGATTTCTAGGGTAAACTTTTCACCATTTAGGATGACAACATTCTCCAAACAGTTTGTACCAGACCGTGCCAGTTGTTCATTGTCTGGAAAAGACAAACAGTGCATTTGTTTATTCACATTCAACATAGTAAAATGTTAACATTGTGTAACGTAATTTGGTACAGTCCTACCTTGCTGCACACACCAGTACAGCTGTGCAAATATATCATCCAAAAGAACATCACTAAGTACGTCTAAATACTGTGTGAATACATCACATATTGCATAAAGCGCATGGTTGCAAGTAGTTGTCATCCATTCAGCTTTCTAGAAGGGGAAAAAAAAAGTTATTTAAACTTTGTTTAAGGTAAAACTTTTAGGATACACATCGCTGCAGGCAGACGGATATATGTATTTACTCAATTTGAATTGCTTTATAGTGACGTGCAATTTCTTTCTATATCTCAAAGCCCCCAAAACATGGAGCCCCAACTTTTGCTTTTCTAACTAGCAGGTTTAAAAAACTACAGAAACAGACAAACAACTATTCTTGGAGACCAGATTATAGGACTGACAAGCACTTACCATCATGAGATACTGAGTTTGACATTAAACTTAGTGCCTAACCCTAGCTCAATAGTTTAACAGCGAGCTAAGTTTTCTGTGTTTCTTCTAAGTATTTTCCAGGGAATAAAAATTTAGTGTGTGAGACATGCCCTTCTACAAATAGTCAGACAGAGCCTCCCAAACAGTTGACAATTTTGACCAAACTTCTAATATTAATAACTTACACATAATTTACATTAGTAAGCCCATTTCTGTTTCACTTACTTGTCAGGACAGTACCTGGTCCTAGTTTGGCAGGCCAAAACCTGTTTGGCTGGTCAAAAAGGTACAGCGAAAGCACAGTGCTGTTTTTTGGGCTTTTTTGTTTGTTTGTGGGTTTTTTTGTCGGTTTTTTTTTTCCTCCCTGGTCATCAAAAAGTTTTGAACTAGCAGAACTTATTTCTTCTAATTGTGACTTCACTGCTGATTACAGTTCTCATTCCATTAGGCATGCTGCCATGAAATGACATGTGTCTCAGATTCCAGACATCACGTGTAAAAGCTGCAGTTCTTCTTACAAACCCTAGATATGTTGCATTTTATATTATTCTTCTATTGTTCGTAGTGTAAACTACGAGGCCTTTTACACACATCGTTTTAAAAAAATGCGAAAAGTTACAATACCTCCAACAGAATGTTAATAAAACAAAATAAGGCTACTAGAACCACAGGTCAACCATGCAAGTTTTGAGGTTTGCCTTACATTACTTGATAAGCTATATTTCTAATCAGGTTTTCTACTGTAAATATAGATCTCCTGTAAATTATCTTCCCCCACTTCTTTCACCTCAGTCTGTTGTTCTGGCAGTTTCATGTTGTCAAATATCCTAAAGACAATCCGAAACAAATCTTGCCACCAGTGTTTTTCGTAAGTATGGCCATATGTCTTCATTATTTCAAACATTACTGTTAAGCCCCTGAAATGAAGAAAGAACAACATATATCGAGAGTTACAAAAAGACATACACTACACTAAATATGTCCAACTGCAACAGCAATAACAAACTCAAATACTGTTAAGAACATTATACATTGATCTGATGTGGATCAGTCATACTAGTACACTAAAATTAAGTAGAAAATCAGCTTGTTTAAAAACCACTTGAAAGTCACAGGCAATAGCCAGAAAATACTTCTGAGAACTGTGGTAATTTCAAATTAAAATAGGAAAACAGCTTCTTTACAAAGGACCACAAAAATAAAGGAACAAGTATTTCCAGGTAAGAAACACAGATGTCTAAAACGAGTATTAATCTTCACCAGTTATAAAGGGAGTCCAGATGCACAGCTCACATGCAGATGTGTAAATTTAAAATGATTTGTATACAACGTCTCATACCTACTCATTGCATTGAGCATTTTACATTTGTTTAAAACAGAGCAAAAACCAAAATGTGACATGAGGCTTACCCAGGTCGACTATGACAAATCATTAAAATGGAATAAGTAACGGGCATATATCATGGGGAATCAAACATCATACATGTATATTTACTAATGAATAGAGAGGATCAATATTGCCACCGGAAAAATACAGATTTGGATATTAATCCAATGTAATACCTTATTTAAAAAAAAAAGGGGAGGGGGATTTAATGCATATTGACCATTTAGAGTTGACCTTCCATGTTAAAATAATGCTTGCTTGTTATATGTTAGGAAAGTTAAAAGTTGACTTTTACATTTTACTCTGTTCTATGCATAAACTGCCTCCATCACATCCGATTGTAAGTTGAGCTAAGCTGTTTTAAATAGTTTACAGGTTCTATAATAAACGGAAAACAATAACTGTATTTTAATTTACTTAAGCTTTAATTTATTTTCAAATGAACTATTTAAATAGTTCTTATCTTTCTGATTTCATGGCTATTCATCCTAAACAGGCACTATTCGAATATTTAAGGAAATGTAATACTTATCTATTTAACATAATGCAATCACAACCACGTAACTTCATTATTTATTATAACAGAAGATAAACATTTCAGATGTAAAGAAAACAGATTTAATTTCTGCATTCCATCATCTATTTAAAAGGTATTTTTAAAAAGTCTGGTGTTCCCACAGTGATATCACCTAAATTAAATACGTAAGTCATTTTACCATGGTTACGTTTACTAAGAGAGTTGTTTCTATTTTAAAAGTGTAAAGTAAGCCTTTTAAAATTTGAATTACAAATACTGATTGTTACCTGGTTCTTACATCTAATTTGCATCTATTGATGATACAGGACAACTCAAAGAGAATTGGGAACCATCCTCGCACCCACACTCTGTCTTCGGGAGCTACATTCATATCATCACTTGTGTATTCCTTGAATGCCTTTAGACGAAAACACAGGGTTATAGAGAGTTGTAAGAGTTAAATTCTTCAAAATAAAATACAATTTGGACTGCAAATAACAATCTCTGCTGTACTGGTATTACACTCTGATACCTCAGGTGAGCTGGCAATCAAAATAATACTGAGAAGGTGAAGTGTTTTTCAAAGTAATGCTTAGTATATTATGAAAAATAAACAAAAAGAAAAAAAAAGAGATGATACATTCAAGCATCAGTTTTTGCTTTCAGTTCAGTCTGAGTCTCTTACTCTCTTTTTACAGAAATGGCATTGAAAGTGAGGATCTACCGTAACATTTTGAGGATATCAAGCATTTTTGCTCATGCCATTATCCATTCTTCACAACATTTCTCAGTAGAGAGCAGATCCTAAGATACCTTCATTTGCAGCAGCTCTCAGGAAAGCTAGCCACCAGCTGAACCTGGTGGATGGAGGGGGGCGGATAAAAGAAAAAAAATAATTGCTGATACTTTCAAAGCCTGTAGCATTTTATACTCCTATTGCTTCTGAATAAAGTACATTTCTCATTAATCTCTGAAACTTGAAGGGAAGCCAGTAAGGTTAGTGTGAGTATTTTTTTCTTTATAAAAGCACTGTTGATTAAACCACTTATAATTTAGTTAATACAGACTATACCTGAGGTCTATCAGATACATATTTTGCACAGTGGCGAATGAGGCGGATCGCTTCCATACTGGTATCTGGAAATGCTGCATTGCAGGCAAATTCAGACAAGCACTTTACTGCATCCTGGAAAGAATCTATGGTTGCTGGGAAGTGTTTTTCAAACACCATTGCTGGGAGAAAAGTGTGAACAGAAGAAAAAGTGTCATGCTTTAAAATCTATTAATTCTAATATAAACTGATTGTAACAGAAGTCATGAGAGACTGGTTCATTGATTGGTGCTGTCAAATGCTAGAGTAGTAATAAAAACTAAAAAATGAATGCTCAGCCAAAAAAAAACAAAAAAAAAAGAAAAAAAAATCACCTAGAGGGCATTCTATTTTGACAGTAAATAAGCGTCTAAAGTAAATCAAGGTAGCATCTAGTCTAAAGGAAGGAAATTTAAGTTAAGCAAGAACAGAGCAATAGGCTTACTGCTTAACACTAGTCTGTGTGATCAGAGCTTAAAAGGGCTACATAAAGCATGGAGTTACATCCACAAAAGGACTTCCCTCAGCAATACAGGCCTGTTGCCTTGATTTTAAATTGTTGCTTTTGAGGAAAAAAAAATTCTTCATCAATGCTGAAAAAGTTTTAAGAACTTGCAGAGGTTGAGACAGAATAAAGAGATCTCTTACGGCACTTAAAGCCTGAGATCTAGACTAGAATGGGCGGGGGGGGGGCGGGAATCGTAGTGCCACCTAGCTCAGCACTTTCTCCTGAACAGGGCCATAGACAAGCACAATTCAGAAACAAAGATAAAGATAAGCAAACAACATAATACTAAAATGACTACACAATTTTTTGGGTGGGGGTGGGGGGGAATTACAAAATTCTTCACTTAAATGAAAATGTGTACATTAAGTAAAATTATCTAAGGCTCAACTTGTTTTGCTACAGAATGCTACAACAGGTATTTTTTAAAAGGCATAAAGGAAGACAGATAACTAAAATCTTATAGAATTATTTTTGTCAGTATTTTCCTAGACGATTAGTTGAAAAGTGCAAAACATTGGTTCTAAAGCGTGAAGCAGGCTTTACTATGCAGGCTGTAGAGCCAACAGATAAACAAAGCTTCTCAGTCTCTGCAGTCACGTACACTTTCATGATGTCTGAATATCGTCAATACTCACTGACAATGTGTCCTGTAGTTTGGAATGCAAGTTCTACTATACTTTCATCCTGATCTGAGGCTGCCAGATGAAATACTGAAAAAATGTTTTTCCAGCCAGAACGAATGTTAGCAGCCTGGGAATTTACCATCTGTGCAATACACCGTACAACCATGTCTCGAATAGTAGGAGACCTAAATTAAGATAATAAACAACAATTGTTTAAACTAAATTACATAATCAATTAGAATCATATAATTCTCCAGCAACTGATTTTACAAAAGCAATTTGAAACATTAATTGCAAAAGTTGGTGCATATGATCCCAGGCGATTCAGTTAGTTGTATGTTATTACCTGTTTCTCTTCATTATATGTTCAAACGGTCTTAGGAAGTCCTTCTGGAATCGGAAATTAGCAAGTTCTCCTTTTTCTAAGAACTTCATTGATAATTGCCTTAATGAGTCTACTGCAAAAATAGCTACATCTTCATTGGGATTGCAGCCAACCTGATAACGTAGAATAGAAATGCATAGTAAGGTTGCATCAGAATTCTTATGGATTCAGCCCAAGCTGCCTTTACATTTGATAATGGAGAACTAAGCAGTACTGGAAAATTAACAAAATTAAACAGTAGCCAATTCCATAAACCACATTGTTAATGCAACTCAATAATCCCTAACCAATTCCAGATATTTTCTACATTATATATCCTAGCATTTAAAACTTTCTAAAAATAAGCAAGCTCTCTAGAAAGACTTCATTAAGCTGTATTAAAAATGCATGTCAAACATTCACCTGATAAATAGTCAATTTAGACTTGAACAGAAAACAACCTCTTATCCCAAGCTTCATAAAACACCCCCAAAAATTAGAAGACATAACTAAAGGCAGCCAGTTCCAGATCCAGGCCAAGATAAATAACTTAATATATACTCCTGCTTTTACATTTATTATACTGTGTACCTCTGCCTTCTCGCAGGCCTTTCCAGCTTTACAATTTTTCTTGCGTTTTAAGCTACTTACACAGAAAGACAAAAAACCCGGTATAATTCAGATGAGCACATGCTTTTCCAACAAATCTCTAAATAAAATTTATTTGTATCAATAATTCAAGGAGTATGCAGTAGAATCATTAACAGGGATACCTTATTAAAATGATCTCCAATAACTTCCCAGATTCTAGACCACTGCAGCCTTATCCTGCCCATGTTGTAGTAAGAAATCTCTACTATCTTCTGCAGACTAAACATTCGAGGGTGGGTAGCAGACAGCAGTTCATCCATAGATACAGCACAAAGCCAGCGAACGAAATCCACTGTTAAATGACCACAGATTTTAATGCAGTATTCTTCCAAGGTTTAAGACAAAGCTGCTTTGTAGTTTGTAGTTTACCGGGGGGGGAGGGGGGCACGAAGATAAAACCTACCAATAGCATTTCCATCCAACCTTGTAGATCCCGTAAATATTCTGTAAAGCACAGTTTAAGACACTGTTACAATTTCTTAAAAAAGCATCTATTAAACATGTATTCAATTTTTTTTTTTTAATACATACAGATATCCCCTGACCACTTTTATTTATTGAAAAACAATAAGTAATTGTGGAAAAACACTGAGCTTTGAAAATAAAATCAGGAATATTTCAATTATTTCTACTATTTAAAAATAACTCCCATAAGCATGCGTGGAGACTGGGAGATAAGCATTGTTTCTAATATATCCGCTCATTGACAGTGACCGATGAATAATATCAGTAGTTTATAAACTATTCAGCCTTGCTCCAAATACAGAAGTCAAACTTCTCCAGAGTGCAAGTATCTATTTGTGACGACAAATAGATACTTGAAACACTTCCCATTATGAAGTGGGGAGAAATACTGCAAACCTAAAGAGCTATTATGTGTTTGACATTAAGCCTCCAGTTCACTTGATGTGATTTTACTGCAACGCAACTTTCATTGAACTGACATCAATCTTGCTGCCTATACTCAATCACAGAAATGCTTGTAAGCCTTCAGAATGATACCCCTTTGTGACTGTCAATTTTGACAACCATTAAGAAAATGATGTTTTCTGATGTCTTATATGCTGAGAAAGCAAGATCCATTAACACTCCAGTCTGATCAGTACTTTACGATATAAACAGGGAATGTTTATGATATGTATTACACCTGATCAAATCCATTTATGATAAATATGATTCACAGAAAGACTGGAATAATAATTTTGGTAATTTCAGACATCATCTACATAACCTAGAGGAAAGCAGGAAGCCAGTAATTACATTTAGGAGAAAAAGGGTCTGTCAATAATGCTCCCAGTACCAAGGCAAAATGAGATTTGCTATATGTTACTATATATAGCAAATCAAGATTCACCGGACAGTACAGCAGTCTTCATTCTGCAACTCTCCTCTCATAATTTTGCATCAGAAAAAAGGCTTCTTGCCTAATCTTTGTTCTGTTCCTTCTTGCAAAAATACTTCTGCTCCATAAAAAAGGAAAAAACCCACAAAACCAAAAAGCACTTTAATATGGTAATATTTATGTAGTTTTTTCCAAATAGGGGTAAACTAATAACATCCTATTATTAGCACAGGGTACTCAAATACTGCTTAAAAAGCTTTAGGTGGCAACAGCAAATTTAATACGATACCTGTCTACAGCAACGACAACACTTTGGGAGCTAGTTTCACCAATGGATTCCTGAATACTTGCTATCTGCTTCCAATCCACGTTTCCACCAACTACAGTGAACAAAATTTGAAAAATGGGTAAGAGATAACACAGAAGGGGCTGGGAAGAAAGAGAAGTCGTGCCACTACCAGTATAATTAAATATATTTTTAATTCACAAAAAAAGAAAAGTACATTATTAATTTCCCTTGCATGAGCTGGGCATCTCAGTGAACAGTTGCATGTTGGACTAAGTCCTAATTCTCCAGATTCTCTATCCATGTATAAACTATGTCCCAGAAAATTGTCCACATTTGGAACAACTATATACAAGTCAAAAAAATTCAAAAGCACAAGAACCACCTTTTTCTCTCATCTTTCAATGGATCTGTGGTAAATCTGCTACTGAAAATACACAACATAGGACAGAGAATACCGCACAGAGGAGAACTTTTCACACTTTATTAGCAGCAAGTGAGTAAATCCATAGTGATAGGTTTTCTTTTTAAACATTCAGAGAAGAGCTCCCACCAAAACTCCATCTTAAAGCTACATCTCAAGTACAGCAAAATTATCACCTAACAATAGTGAGAAAAATATGTAAATAAAAATAGCAATATTTATTTTGGAGGTTAGAAACTGTAAGCCACAGCTGGGAAAGCTCATGTTAAGAAAAAGCTAACTTCACAGTGAGCAAATTTCTGAAATTTCTGGCAATCTCTAAGCCCCCCTCCACCCCTCATCAGAAAAAGAGCAGGAATCTTGCAACCATTCTGGGTAATTCCACTTACCCTGTATTTAGGTTTTTTTTCCCCTTAGGCAGCCTATCGGAAAGATAGGGGAGAACAGAAGACTGAAAGAAGGCCAGCAGTTCTGTTCTCAGAGCTTGGCAGAGATGAAAAGTTCTCATGTTTCAGACTGCCTCCCAAAAGTCTGCCTCTGAGTCTTGCTGTGCTCCACACTTGGAGGTGGCTGGAAGTGACTGGCTGTCTAGATAAACTGACCCATCTGAAGTGTTTTTCTAGGGCATTTATGGAGTAACCTTTCTGTACGTACATGCATACACACGTAACCTTATACTAGTATTTCAGCAACTTATAATACTGTTGGGTTTGATCAAGACTTCTCCCGCAAGCACAAAAGCTGCCAGTGTCAATTAGCTTGAATCTTGGCAATGCATCAGCTAAGAAACTTATCAAATGAGCAGCTGTGTGAAGTGAATTTGAAGGGCTATTTCCAAGAAGTCAGGTAACCCTAACCAACTCTGCCAGTTTACATGAGAATTCCTTATTATTGTAGGATTTATAATCAATGCTGGAAAACCTAAACAGACAGCAGATTTATATTCCAACAGTTACGAGATCTTTTACAATGAAACATAGAGTCACCTATATAATTATGCTTTATGAAAAACTGATTCCTCAAATACCCATTGTCCAAAGGGGATTTCTGGTTACCTAAGAAGTACATTTTGGCTACAACCTACTCACAGCAGCAGGTTTTGTCTTTAAACTTTGTGAATAGAAACTAGAGTAGAAGAAAGCTGAACTTCACAGTTACAACAAGTAAGACAACATTCCTACCAAAGAAGCAAAGGAATAGATGCTTATTCATTTACTTTTAAAACCCACATGCTTGTGATGCCTTGAATTTTCAAGTAAAACAAAAAAGGGCCACAGCACGAAGATAATGCAAGAGTGATGAAGACATTCAAATGTAGATGCCTGAAGAGTGCACACTTGAATCCTTGTTCAGGCAGTAAATAAGCAAAGGGGTTTTGGGGGTTGGTTTTGGGTTTTCGTGGTTTTTTTGGTTTTGGGTTTTTTGGGGGTTTTGGGGTGGTTTTTTTATTGTGTGTTTTTGGTTTTTTTTTTTTTTAAAAACACACACTTCTAGCTGCAGCAAGAAGAGTGACTGCTGCTGCTTATGCATGTCAGATTTAGCAAGCAAGTTTGAAAGATAAAGCTTCTGTGTCACCAGACTGCAACTTCACTTACGCTAATTAAACAACTATTTTCCTGTAAAATATGTGTCTGTATACATGGACATATGCACTATGGGTTCTTCACAGGAATTTAGGTTTATAGGAAGGTTGCTCAAAAGCCATAGTTCCAAAGGATACTTCAGAGTGATCACAGAAAAAAAATTACAAGTATCTGCAACACAGGATTTGTGGAGAAGAGTGAAAAATCTAAAACAGTTGAGAAAATGGCTATGTTCTAACAGCCCCTAAGTGCATGAAAACCAAATTCCTTTGAGTTAGGCATTTTCGTGTAAGATCGAAGTGATATTATTACAAAAAAAAAAAAAAAAGAAAATGGTTACGTTTCCATATGTGTACTGTAACAAGCACTTCAGAAATTCAATTCAGAGAGAAACATTTTATGCATCTGGGCATAGACTATTTTCCTTAGAAATGTAGTTGACAGAGGGAAAAAAGTCTTTATAAGCTGGATCTACACCAACAACTAGAAAGTATGATTTAGAGACACCTGACAACAGTTCACATTCTTGAGCTATTAGGACTTAAAATTTTTAAAGGCCAGCCACTTCAGCGTAGAGAAACTGCCAGCATTTGGAAATAGCAAAGTTGGATAGGTCATTGGGGAACACTAAACTGGAGGATGCATATTAGAAGGGCAGGAAGAAGCTCAGTATATGAGATGTTGGCAGACGCATTAATTTCCAGGTATAAGGTTTCCCTTCAGCAACTCTTGGCAAGGTGAGGGGAGTACACACAGGCAGGGCAAAGGAGAGCACAATGGAAAAAAAAGGACTGACTGCAGAATAAGAAAAACTGTCTGAGGAGAACACAAAACCAGACGATTAAGACTAGTTGAGGGCTAAGATCAGGGACACTAGTAAAATAATCATTATTCCTCAAAAAAAAAAAAAGTTACATGAAAAATTGAGGCAACACAAAGCTTTTGCTCAGCTGTGGGTGAAATTGTTCAAAACGCAGGAGATACTGAGCATCATACTAAACCTGAAACTTTCTAACAGTCAAATGGAGTTATATATACCTCCTTGATGCTTCCATAGTTTCCTAATACCCTATACCGGTATGTCTTTAACTGTGCTCCTATTTAAAAAAAAAAAAAAAATAAAAAAAAATCAACCTTTTTAAGATAATTTAAGGTAATAATTTAAGATATAGTTTTCTAGGAGGATAGGAAACAACATCTCATTTATGGAGTAAAGTTTGGCTCTCAGGCCAACCTAAAAAAGGTACTTATTCAGTACCAAAGTAACCAAAAGAGGAAGAAACAGAATTTCAGCTGAACTAATCTCCCACTTGATTTGAATACTGTGTATTTCTCGCCAAGTTTCGTAACAGGATGCTTAACCTACACATACTAACTTGCCTGTTTGGTAAAATACTTGGTGCACTAATGTTGCAGTATTATTAAATCTGGTCATACCATCAGCAATCCATTCTTATTTGGCCAGCTATATTTTAATAGAAATGAATGATGTATCATTTTCTTACATTTCCCACTCTCCCATCCTAGCATTAATACTTAACAGAGCAAAACAAATATTCCAGAAATAGGAATAGGTCTATTCAAAGCCTAAAACAGTTTTACAAGGACTACTTCATGGTCTCGTCTCCGAACCTCACCATCAACTATAATGAAAACAAAGGACAAACTTTAATATCTGTCTGAACAAAGCCAGTTAAATGAAATACTTCACATCTGCATTACTTACCCAGTCCCAGCCCCACAAATTCATCGGGTGCCTGATCTTTTGTTCCAGTAAAAGAACCTTCCCTGCCACGCACTGTCCCTGAGATGTAGCGAGGTTTTACTCCAGTTCCTATTAACTGTGCCAGTTCAAGTTGACTAATGCATTTCAGAATCTATTCCAGAGAATAAAGAAGTTGTTTATCAACAAAAAGCAGTTTGAAATAGTAAAAAATAAATACATAAAAATCTTTAGGCAGATTTGCAGAAGAAAAAAATTCTAAACATTCAAGGTCAGACAAGTATTTCTGTTCTTCTGTCTAAAATGAGTATTAATTTAAATACTATTGGATCAGTCTCACAGTTTTATTTCTCACTTGGACATGTTTTGCTACTTGTAATTGGCTGCATAACGTGCAATTCTACATAATGTATGCACAAAAGTATATTCTTGGCACTTATCTAAAACCAACTGTATTTATGCACAAACAAGTACACTACTGTGTTCAAAATCAGTACACGTGCTTTCTTACAGTTTAAGTCCAAATGACTCTTGTACCTCATGCCAGGAATTTCCTAAATAGTTTCCATCCGTATGAGCCACCGTGATGAGAGTTTTAATTGTGTCAATATTCTTCTGCTTCATTTCAGTAATACCAGAACTCACTGTAAGTAACGTAAATCTTGCTAACGCTTGGACATAGGCATCTCTTTCAAGCTACAAAGAGGAGAAAAAAAAAAATTGTCTTATAAGTATTTTCTCAGTTTCTTGTTCTTAGTACAATCTGTGTGATTTCAGCAACTATATAATTTACCTTTCTCTTCCTAGAACTGAATTTCCAAAGCATTCTACACAGTGAAAATATCTCATGTCCTTCTGTAGTAAGCTGTGGGATAAAATCAGGCTCCCTCTATTCAGGAACATGAAGTGTTCAGTCAGTAAGTACAGTCTGACAGCATAGAACACATAGGTTTGTTGTTAGGTTTCTGGGTTTGGTCTTTTTGGATTTTTGGGGGGCTTTGGGGGATACAGGATGCTGTTTCAGAAGAAATGTGGCTTCTTAGCTAAGTTTTTAATATTCTTGTACTATACCTGGACCTACTCTGAAAATGCTGCCATAGCAGACTCTCTCAAGTCGTAGGATTTTTTCAGCAACAGAATCTAAATAATACATCTAAAAGGCATGTTTTGCCAATTCCACAAAACTGCTCAAAACATATTTGATTTAATCTACGCCATTTGGAGCACCTCAGAACCTTGTGAGGCAAAACTGTCATGGGTGGGTAAACAGCAAGTGACCTATAATCTAGGCAGATTAAATCAATCTCACAAAAAAGAATGTTCCACATCTAGGTACCCGATTTTTATGTATAGGGTATCTATAAACACCAAAGGAAACTTCTCAGATCTCATATGAGCCAATTACAACAGTAAAAAGGGGATTACAGTTGAGCTTACAAGTGCATTTTACTCTCCTGTTATGTATAATCTGAAGGCCATAAAATGAAATGGTTGTAGATCAGAAAAACAAATGACAACTATGAAATATATTTAACTGTTTGGATGTTTAAGACTATTTTGAATAAAAAAATCATTAAGCACATAATAAAATCAAATGTAAAATGTTTAAAAAAAAATCCCAGGAAGAATGTGCTTCGTAGAGAAAACACAAATGCCACAACAGTGGGCAATGACAGAAGGGACGGATTCTCAGACAGCAACATAGCGTGGCTGCCATGTTCAAACCCAGCTGCTACTACTACTAGAAGGTACACTGGCAAAGGCACAGCAAATGATGTATAAGCACAGAAAAATGGAAGTTTCATGGAAAGAGTACTAAGCAAAGAAGCTTTAGAGTCTACAAACTGTGTATCTTCTGTAAAAGGAAAATGTTTTCAGTCCTACCTTCCCTCTCTATTCCATACAGATATTCCCCCTCTGTCCCTTTTTCTAAGCCATCAAAGTAGGAGAAAAACAACTAAAGAATGTGTCCATCAACCAGAAAGTAAAAACAGATGATATAAATAAGTTAAGTACATCCTTTTGATGCGTATCTTGTCCCAGATGCTTAAAGACAAAAGGCAGACTGTGTGACAGTCTAAAATTAAAAGCATAAATACTTAAAAACAGAATATTTAATTGAGGTTTTAGAGGTGAACATGTGTAGCTTAAACTATATTGTATACTTTGGGAACTTTCTTAGGACTAAAAGCCTCCAGGTCCCTCCATTATCCTATCCAAGCGACAGGGCAAGAGGAAACAGCCTCAAGTTGCGCCAGGGGAAGTTTCGATTGGATATTAGGAAAAATTTCTTCACCGAAAGGGTTGTCAAGCATTGGAACAGGCTGCCCAGGGAAGTGGTTGAGTCACCATCCCTGGAGGTACTTAAAAGACATGTAGATGTGGTGCTTAGGGACATAGCTTAGTGATGGACTTGGCAGTGTTAGGTTAACGGTTGGACTTGATGATCTTAAAGGTCTTTTCCAACCTAAACGATTCTATGATTCTATGATTATCTCTCAAGATGTGTAAACTAATGTTAACTGTTCTTAGACACCAATCTTAACTTCTGTATGTTTATTAAATGAAATATAAAAGTTGCCAGCACCAGGTAAGCACAAGAGGAAAAACCTGCTTCCAACAGAAAAGATCCTTAAGTCAGCTCAAGTACAGATTTGCCAGTCTCCTTCAAACCACCAGAGCTATCTGGCACCTGAAGTCAGACAACACTGCCATCTAATCAGGACTTTGTACAATGGAATCATCCTGCAACATACTGAAATCACCAACAAACCAGTATTTTTTTAATGATATCAACAAAACAAAATTCCCATAGGAAACCAAGAAGGAATATCACTTATGTTGAAAATACAAACCCAAGCTTTTAAATGTCAGCAAATGAGAAGTGTTGTTTTTAAAACACCTCCAGTTCAATCAAGTTTGTCCCAAGCCAGTGGAAGGGCATGACAGATTCTGGTACATTCCTGAAGCATGGGGATCTTAGAGCAAATGTGTCCTTGCCTCCCCACCCGAAGCAGACCACTGCAGGACTGGGAGCTGACTTCTGCAGCTGCTGAAACTGATATTTATACCAGTTCCACTTTTGCAGCTTAGAAACAAAAATATCAGGCATGTGAATTTCATTGAACAGCTGCAGGCTCCAGGGAAGGCTTTGTTAATCAGATTTTTAAGTCCATTCCATTTAGGGTTGGGGGGGGGGACGGGACGACAGGGAGTGACGTAGAAAGACAGAGGAAGGAAGCCTTACACAATCTCAAACGGGATTTTTTTAAGCAGCTGTATCAGAGGTCCCAATGTGCCTTTCCACATTAGTTATCTAATTGCTAAATACAAGTGCAAGGGGAGAGGGAAGCAAAGCTAAATACAAGTGCAAGGGGAGAGTGAAGCAAAGCATTCACTGTCATATCATAGTTCAATAGTTTTTACTTAAAGTTAGTCTTACAAAGTTGTTGGGTTTTTTGAGTTTTTTGGTTGGTTTTTTTTTTAAAAAATGTTTTCAATGTACACGTGAAATAACGCAATGTCAAACATAGGAATTTTACTTGCTCCTATCTTCAGCTATCCCTACAATGGACTTATGGCAGACCAGTACTCCACTTATTAACTAATAGTTTACAATAACACAATAGTACGTTCCCTACCAATGATTTCAAAATGGGGGGGGACGGGGGTGGGTGGGTGGAGGGAAGACAAAAAGAGCGCCCAAGTTTAATCAGAATTACCCTCTGGAGCCAGAGAGTCTGGAATTCTTGCCATTGTGCTTAATGCAAGATACATTCATGCATTACACCAGGAATGACATTTCCAGTGCCATAACTGTTAAAATGGTATCCAATTATAGAAATCTCAGATTAGTATAATCTCTCTGAAGTCGAGAACAGTATTTCAAACATAGTTCACAGAGATACTATTTTACTTATGAAACAGGATAGAAAGACTCATTTTATGAAACATCAAAACAAAGCTAAACGCTTTGTAACAAAGCTAGAAAGAAAGTACTTTGACATAAAACTAGTCAACTTGTGGGGAAAATGCAGTACATAAGCATGGCAGCACTTACACAAAACACCAGGAAAAATAAAAGTCACTTCCAAGACAAATATCAGACGAAGTAGTAATTGCAGAAGCAGGCAGCCTCTAGGTATTGCAGTGCATAGCTTCAGCAACAAGGAGACTCTTAGAACCCCACTAACATTTTGCTGGCACATAAATCAAAGTATTGTCTCAATCTTAAATTTTTTACCTGAATGTTGAAAATGCAAGCAATCCTGATTGCACATCGTATACCCTCCAAACAAAGAGAGGCAACTTCTGTGTCATCACAGTCCTGTAGACCCACACTGAATGCAGCTAGAAAAGGTGTCCATGCCAACTGGAACGTATGCAAAATAAAAGTTACATTACCAACTGTTAGTACTTAGAGGGAATGTTGTAGTTTCAACATCTTGTAAATTCCATCCTTAACTCACATCATTAACCTTGAAGTTGCCTTTTGCCAAAAAGGAAATGGAATAGAATAGACATGAGACATAGAATAGGATAAAGTATAGTTAGAAGAGATACGAGACATAGAATAGATAGGATAGAAGTAATGCAGATTACTTCTGCTACTTCTGATGCTCCCCTCAGAAGCACTCTCCCTCTCCCTCAGCAACCAACGCACACGACCATCTCCACATAGCTGGGGAAAAAAAAAAAAAACCAAAGCTATGTCAGTTAGATGTCTATTGGAGTTTTGGTATTCCCAGGATAACCTTTATCTTTGCAAACTGAGAAACAGAGTCAATAGTTACTGCAAGAACCAACACGGTATATAACAGATTCCTTTATGATGAAAAGGATGTACTTAAGGTAAGACAAGTTTGTCCTGATAACACGAGAAGGAAAAAAAAAAAAAGGGTAGGGTAAAACAGGGCAGCAAACTTTATTAATTCCACTAAAATTACGGTAAGACAACAACAATCACAGACAGGACACGACTCTTGATCTCTCTGCTCTTAATTTTGTTGCCCTTGGCCTTCCATCTTTTTGTATCTAAGCCATTGTTGATGTTTCCCATTCCTCTTGCCTTAGGTGGGACTGAAAGTGTAATACACTCAACTAAAAGTTATTGCAGGAGAGTCCACATCATCCTGTCCTTGTGGTCACGACTCCCTCACCCACAGGCAATCAAAAAAAACCAATCAGAAGATCCAGAGGATCCTGCCGTAACTACACGTGGTTATGGAGAGGAAACCCCAGGGTACCCAGAACGATTTTAGAAATATTACCTGAAGTCACCTCAAATGAAATACAGAATCAATGGGCACAGCACGGAGCAACAAATTTCACACTTAATTTCGTAATAAAATGATGCACCACAGAGCTTTGGTTTCATTTAAACCAGCAATTCCAAAAGCACTACCTCAGAAAAGCGTTTAACACTTGCACACACCAAACTATAACTCTGGGACAGTATTAAAGGCATCAGATGAATTCCTAGATCCAGGACTTAATTCCTTATTGCATGACCTTTAAAGGTGCCTTCAAACCCAAACTATTCTATGATACTATGTTCCAGAAGTGTATGTTTCTACCCCCCCTTTTCTAATTTTTCATTCCTATTGAAACCAACACTAATCTTAAAAATCGCAAAACTGAAAGACTTTCTTAAGAACTACCTAGAGATCTGTATAGTATGCTTTATAACTAGATTTACACTGTTATTTATAATAGACTGTTTTGTCATTAAAGGTGAAAATTAAGCCTCTAAAATAGACAATCAATTTTGGGCTGCTTAGGTGGGTGCATAAAGTGAAATTTTTGTTCTGTTTTAATCATTTTGTAAATCTATCTGTAAATATAGTTATAATGATAAATTTTACACTGGCATCAATGGGTGAAAGTCACACATTATAAAGTTTTGCTGAAATAAAAATTTAAAAGTCTAAATAAAAAATGTGAAATTGAATATTTAACTTCCACAGTTCTCACTTTTTTGATAAGTCAGCTCTCTGTTCAACATATTACATTGTCCTCAGTATTTTAATTAGTTTATGAACATCCTCAAGTAAGAAGACTTAGCACCTTCACAAAAGACATTTAGGGTGTTAATTTACCCTGATGCTTCATATTTTGCTCCTTTGAAAATGGATTTTGCAAATGTCCTTTTCAGACACTAAAGGCTAGGAATGTTATAGAGTAATAGGGCTGGTATCTTAAGGAAAAATAGTCTATGAATTTTACAGATGCCTGCATGCAAGTTGTTTCAGAAGTCAACAGAGAGAAATTATGTACAGTACACCTCTGCTAAGTGACACTCTGGAAGTAGATTTTAAACAAGGGCTTCATTTAGCATTATTCTGTACAAACAGAGTACTATCCTACTTTTATTAATATGGCGATAAAGAACTCAGAGAAGTTTGCCTCATGGACAGCAATCTTACAACTAGATCCTCAGTGTGCCCAGGTGGCCAAGGCGGCCAATAGCATCCTGGCTTGTATCAGAAATAGCGTGGCCAGCAAGAGTAGGGAAGTGATCGTGCCCCTGTACTCGGCCCTGGTGAGGCCGCACCTCGAATCCCGTGTTCAGTTTTGGGCCCCTCACTAGAAGAAAGACATTGAGGTGCTGGAGCGTGTCCAGAGAAGGGCAACGAAGCTGGTGAAGGGTCTAGAGAACAAGTCTTATGAGGAGCGGCTGAGGGAACTGGGGTTGTTTAGCCTGGAGAAGAGGAGGCTAAGGGGAGACCTTATCGCTTTCTACCACTACCTGAAAGGAGGTTGTAGCGAAGTGGCTGTCGGCCTCCTCCCAAGTAGCAAGTGATAGGACAAGAGGCAACAGCCTCAAGTTGCATCAGGGGAGGTTTAGATTGGATATTAGGAAAAATATCTTCACCGAAAGGGTTATTGGGCATTGGAACAGGCTGCCCAGGGAAGTGTTTGAGTTACCATCCCCGGAGGTATTTAAAAGACATGTAGACGTGGTGCTTAGGGACATGGTTTAGTGGTGGATTTGGTAGGGTTAGGTTAACAGTTGGACTCAATGATCTTAAGTGTCTTTTCCAACCTAAATGATTCTGAGTCTATGATTCTTGAGTCTGGGCCTGAGCTCAACCTGACCTCACAACACATCACTCTAGAGAACCATTTGTTTATTGTAATGGTAGTGGTCTGAGACTTTACCTCCCTGGAGCAGTTCACAAAGGGGTCATATGAGGACCACTTCTTGGCACAAGGGCAGCAAATGAGAGCGCATGGTAAGGGGGCAACAATTTATTTCAGTGGCAGTTAACTGTAATGAGTTAGTTATGCCAAAGACCATATCTAATGAGGCATAATGCACTACTGAACATACTCTATATCTACGAATCTGATTCACTGGTATGCAAAAAGCATTTGGGATGCAGACAGCTTTGCACCTACACAATAGCTAAGACAGGTGTTTAGAATAATGGTTTAATACAGGTTCAGCTACCTCCCCCAAAACTAGATGGCAGTCCTAACCTTTCTGAAATATTAATTTGGAACAGACAACATTAGACAGAAGTTTGTTCTGATAATTGCTCCCCCCAAATGCAATAAAGTAATCTCCCTTAGAAGCAGTACGAGGGACTCTCAAACAATGAACAGGGGTTAGTCATTTCTCACTTTTATAAATAAGCTGTTTTGACTACACCTCTATACCTGAAATAAAAACCCTACCATTTCAAGTTTTTAACTATTCTTTATACTTTTGTCCCCTCAACGTACTTCTCGTAACTCCTCCATTATATCAAGATGCTGCTTCTATCAGCACAGAAACGTCTTAAATCCCAGGGTAAATAAAACTGGAGTAAAAGGCTCAAAATCCCTTCTTTCCTGTAGCAAGTTAAATAACTTACAAAACGATCAAAGCACAGCAGACACATCTTTAGTATTTTTAACAAATCCTGTCAGTCAGTATTTTGTATTAAGAAACTATGTGATATTCTAGGTAAATATCTAAACATGTATCTCACCTTAAACATGGGTCTCACATGCTCCAGGTGTGTTGCACTAGTAAAAGGTGCCTGAACGTGGCTCACTGCCTCCATAAGAGCTTTAGCTGTTTTAGCCATTTGTTCCATTTCCAAATTATATAGGAGTCTTCTCTGCTTTTCACTAGCAACACCTGTAAACACATTTTTTCCTCTCATTCGTGCATCTTTAGCGGTGGTGTCTTCAGGAATATAATAATTTTAAATTTTTCTGTAAGTGCCATACTCAGATGCAATTTTTGTATTATCTTTACTTTCTGAAATCACCACAGCAGCAAGATACTTCTTTTGCAATATAGATAAAATTTAACTTAAGGCAAACTTATGTATGAAACATAACCTAATTTTAAACCTTTACAGAATTTTAAGATTTGCACAACAAACATTTCTTCTCCATCACCTCAACTTACAGCATAAATATAATGTCCACTAAGCTAAATTCAAAGTGCACAGAAGTTTCATAGCAATCCATCAGCACAGAAAATAACAATAAAAATAAGCGGACATCCTTTTTCTGAGGGACAACGACCTTAATCACCTTTTCATTTCAGTAATGGAACCTCCATCTCATCAAGAAAGTAGAATGTAATAATCAGCTTCTTTTAAAATTACAATAAAAACATTATATTAATTGAACGAATATTGAAAGTAAGAGGGATTCTTTTTTCCAGATGCAAATTTCCTGTAAGCAATCTGTTCATAAGCCTAACCTAGGACTTAAAAGAATACAAATTTCACTATGTTGGGAAAAAGTCAAGTCCCTCTTAATGTTCTCTGTAGAAAAGCTAGAACGTGTAACATCTGAATCTTCACATTGTGCAAAACACAAAAAAGTTTTTCTGGTATTTGAGAGAGGAAAAGATAGTTAGTTTTAAAAGTGCATAAATTAGGGCCCTACAAACTAAACAGTGCAAAATTTTTGAAGACGACAGACTGGTTATTGCAGGAAAACACAACGGTTACTTTAGAAATAGAAGGCACAACTATTGCATTTGTTCTGCACTATGCCTATCAGCAACACTTACTTCATAAAGCCCTCAAATGCTTTTCCCTATGTTGCTGTTCAACAGCAAAACCGTGGTCAATGCACTGAATAACTTCTCCATGGTCAATGCACTGAATAACAGGAATTCAGACGCAAAGGGAAGTGAAAATAAGCAGTTGCATTTAACACAGATTTGAAGATAGCATTTATGTTAAAAGAAAAAGAATATGGAATTAGAAGTTAGGACTCATTTTGAGTTAAGTAAATGGTGCTTGCTTCATTCATCCCTCATTTTAAAAAGGAGATAGCTTCATGAAACTGAAGAGCCAACACTTTGAAGAACACTAACATTGCAACTACTTACTTTGTTTACTGGATTTTGTGGGTATTGTTAATTCTTTTGTTTCTTTCATTGAAATCTTCTTTCCAGCTATTTCATTATAGATAGCAGACAAATATTCTTCAGGGAGATCTTTACTGTCATTGATACCTCTATTCATTTTAATATACTGTTCTTTTGTCATTTTATTCTTAACCTGAAATCCAGAAAGAAGCTATTAATATCAACAAATGAGGCAAATTCATAGCAATTACAATGCTGCCTATAAAGCAGCCAAACAGATGAAAAGTTACCATGAAGGACAAAGCTGCTGATTCAGAAGCCATTTTTAAGTATCCAACATATGCAAGACTACATTGTCAAATCTACAAAATAACACAAGGTCATGTGGACATTACAACACTCAAACATTCAGTAGAATCCGCAGATCTATTAGACATACATTACCAAAAAAAAAAAAAAAAGTATTTTATCTTGTCGTACAGACCAAGCTATTTATTTTAAATATAATCCCATAGTCTGATAAGAGTTCGATACTCTTTCCAGATTTTGCTTAAATAAATGATGATGGCTAATCACTGCAGAAGTGAGCTGTATTTATGAAAATAAAGCTGCATTATTTTTTCAAACAGACTGAAATCAGGAGCAGATTTGTGTTAAAGTCAATGGGTAAGTAAGTTCTGGCTTTGACTGTAGGTTAGATCACTACTGTGAGTGCCATAATATGAAAGCAAATCCACACAATTCCCATTCAACACAGTAGGGAAACAATACCTTACAGAAAGGTCTAACCAAAACAACTGAAAAATCTCAACACTCCTGAAACACTATACTGTTACTTAAAAGATGCACAAACTTAAGCTACCATATTTCCTACACACTTATTGGCGCTAAACTGAACATCAAGCTTTTACAACTACATTGTCACGAAGCCTGAAAGTTAGACGTCTATGGATTACATAAATATTTTTCTGGCAACATACCTGTGGACTGTGAAGATCTGTTGTCAACATGATAATTGAGTAAGCTAAAACATATGCAGTATCTGCACTAGCAAAAAGAGTTTGCCTGAAGGGGGAGAGGAGAAAAAGAACAGCAAAATTTAACATATTAGGATTTTTTTTACTCATTATTCAGTTTTCCAAAGTTCTGAAGACAAAGTATGGCTTACCCTTGGTTACATTCTAAATATCTAGCAGCAAATTTCTCCATTAGGCGATCAATTTTTTGAGCCTCTCCTGGAAGACGAAATCCCTCTAGAAACATGCGCAGAGCTGAAACAAAATCCTTTCCTGAAAAGTCGTGTTGGTCTACATATGCATACATGACTTCTTTGTTAAATTTATCATTGTCTCCCAGGAACTCCCCAACCTGAGTCTAAAATAAGAATAGAAAAGACAAACTAGTGCATTTACACTGGAAAAAAAATAGTAAATAACAACAGAGTCATGCTGCCCATATGTCTCACAAAAAGAGAGGCCTGTATGCAGTTAACTAAGACATATTCCTGCTTCTCCTCTACTCTATTTTGGCCATAGATTCCATCATAATGCTCTTACATGCTCATACCTGCCTACTTTCCTCCTCCTCTAGTTTTACTCATGTACCATTTTTTTCTATTAGATGAATTCCACGTGTGCACAAGACAAAGTTAATATTACCAACGATTGCTTGTTCTCTGCTGTAATGATTTTTGTAGTTAGGAAACTTACCACAGGAATAAAAAGCTCACTAAACTCAACTTTATTCCCACTAGAGTACAGATCTCAAATAGTTGCAAGTGCTGCTCAAATATAAATAGCTGGTACTCAAATACATCCAAGCTGACCACTGTGAAAGCAACACAGTACAGTAAAAAATACCATGCACTCAGATAAAGATGCCTGTATATGTAAACTGAGGCTAAAAATGTCTTTTGATGGCCGATTCTAAGTTCTAATACTGAAATTTGTGACTTCAGCCACAGCTGCAAGCATGGGCATACGCAAGCCTTTCCTTAGAAAACAATGCAGGTGGCTACTAAGCATAATGGTGCAGACTGCCATTTCAGAAAGCTAAGTTTTTCATGACAATACCAACATGAGATACTCCCACCCTCCTCAGCCAGATATTGCAGGACCCTTCCAAGTCCAGCAGCAGCTGCTAGCTGTAAATAAAATCAAAGAACTAATCTAGATTAAGTAACTTTCCTTTGGGAGGCAACAAAAAAATGCTTTTCATGTTGTTGCACCATCTTATTTTTTAACCGTCTGTGAAGGACTGTTACTTCTGGCAGTCCCTTATTTGACTAAAGTACATAGAGTTTAGTAAGTTGCTTCTAGCTATACTGGCAACTAAATACAAGTTTTGAGTCAGCTCAAGTAGGTCAGTCTTTTCCTTTACACCTCGCTGAACTGCAGGATGCATGTAGTACAGGGTATAGCTCTAATGCATACTCCAATTCAAACTCCTTGAGCTTACAAATTTTAGAAGAGAGAGAAGTTTCCTTTTCTTCATTTTACAATAATGTTATACACTTTAAAACACTATCATGTGATTTGCAATTAGTATAAAAACATCAGCATGAGCAAAAACAACCATCAGAAAAACAGTTTTCTTACTGAATCTAATCTTTCCTCTTGATGCAAGAACTGAGCAATATCTTCAGGGGTAGTGCCAAGCATTCCTTGTTCTTGCAGGTACTGAATCCCCCTCTTTGGTTTCTTATTGAATCTGTACAATCAAGATCAGGATGGAATGAGAGTTAACCCTTTTACTCATGCACAAAGGCATGTTAAGCTTAAGTACAAAGATTCAATAATTTTGGATGAGGTATTGAAAATCCGTATTAAATATTTTTTCTTCATCAAACTGTGCATTAGATAGGAATGAGCTATTCCCTTCTCTGATTATTCCCTTCATCATTGGATGATTTTATGTTTTTTTCCGCCTGTAAATAGCCTCCTCTTCCTCTTTGCTACAGAACTGCCAGCATGGCATCCAAGCAGCTCCCAGCAAGGAGAGCTAAACACTACCATTTACTCTGGCGCTCGTGAAGAAAAATATATTCCACAGAAACAGCAAAGTCTTGGCTTGGAAAGGAACAATTATGCTCTGTTGCTTTTTGTTTCAATCTGTATGAAACAATCAAGAAATCCATGAGTTGTCTGTAAGAATGGAAACGTACAAGACAAGGAACCAGATAACTGAAAGAAACTGAACCCCTAAAGGACTAAGACATGTTTGTTCAGGATCTGAGAACTACACTACAGAAAACTTATTTTTGCATAAAGTGACCTCACTGAGGAGGTAAGGTGACAGCTGAAATCACACAGAAGATTCATGTCAGACTGCACTGAGAAATTATACTATCCTCCAGTTCTAATTATAACAAGTTAATTAATCAGAGGGAAGGATCAGCTTAAGCATATAGTCACTTTCATCAGTAATGTGTACACTAAAACAGGTCATATTCAACTGATCACATGAGTTCAATGTTCTTTTTATCCAAATATAAAAATCTTATTTTAGACAAGCAGGTCTGGAAAAAAAAGAACAAACATTCAGAGTACTCATCTTCTAGCTGTGAGGAATTAGGTTAACACAAAACACTGTTGACAGGCTCCAAAGGGGACACCATTCAGCACTCTTTCACCAGAGGTAGTGCTGTTACATCCAGAGTTTTTTTCCTAACACAAGATGAGTATCTATGAGGAGAAGGAAGAAAAACCCAGGAATCTTCATAGCTCCAAAAGAATCCACCCTCCCATGGGTGATAAAAGGGCACTCACAAGTCAATTCCTTGTTCTATTATTTCCTTTTGTTGCTTTAGGACCTCAAACTGCTCTGGGTTGTCAGTGCCAGACATCTGTGTGCTGTAACTGCCAATTCCTGAGGAAGCAGTAGAATCCAAGGAATTTAAGCTTCCATATCTGTTAATTGTCTCAGGGTGTTTGGTTTCATTGCTGTCCTGTTCTGTGGGTTTTTCTTGGCCTATAAATTGGAAAGGGTTACATACATACAAAATACATACAATGAAAAGAAATTAAAATCACAGGTCATTCTTCAAATCCGCTCTGAAGGCTTCTAAAACTTAATAGGGTTATCTTCAATGATGCTTTTGTTTTGGTTAGGAAAATAACAACAACAAAAATCACTACAACATATCAAGGAGGATTCTTTCAGTCCATCACATACCTGAAATTTAAGCCTTAAATTACAATTATAATTTGTAGGCACTTGGAAAAAAATATATGACACCTTAGAAACCCAGTTACACCTTTCCTTTTATTTTCAAGTCTGATGTTACTTTTGACCTGAAGCGAATCACACTATTCTAAGTTTTTGAAACAGAGCATCTAAAAGTGTTTATGATCAGACATGCCAAGGAGCTGGTGCTCCCAGTTCACAAAGACAGCCGTGCCAGCCACCTCTAAAAAGGTTATTACTTCACTTACCAACTTCAAGCGCTTAATCTGAAAATTCTGGCATAACCTTAGTACTTTTCATCTCAGGTCAGACGGAAACAAGATTAAGTTACTGATTTAGTTACTTCACTGCTTACAACATTGGAAGTTCTATAGCTATACATTAATAAATAAAAAAAATGCTCTCTGTCCAGCTTGCTTCAGTAGTAATTTAATTAATATGAAGTTAGATGAAATTAGGGGAGCTTCAAAGTAAGTTTTGTGATCCTTTTAAAATTAGAAATACAGAAAGTAACAGGATTTAGTAATTTTCAGTGTTATATAGCTTTCTAGAAATTCATACAATTAAGAAAAGACAACTTAGACAACTTGTTCAAATGACACCAATCCAAACTTACCAATATTTCTAACAAAGAAAAAAAAAGTTTATTCTCTCTCTTTTTTTAATGCAAGAGGTTTTACCAATCTGGACACTAACAGTATCAAAATACTGGAAAAATGCACTAAACTCCTGCAGCACCTCTTTACTAAAGCCAGAAGAAACACATCTCGTGTCTTACCAAGTGTTGTCTGAGAATTGGGATTTACATATTGATCCTTACTCCACTCCACCATGCATTTCAAGATTGATACTAAGCATTCCAATCCTTTTTTTCTCAAACTTAATTCCTAGAAAACATTTCAAAAGCAATACATTAGTGGAATGGAGAGTTTAGTCTTAACCTATCATGCCAAGAAACATGAAGCTTCATAAAGTTTGGTGAAATTTTTACCTGAACATTGGACATGCCAAGTTCTTGGCTACCCCTTCCTTGAGCAATCTTTGATAGGTCATTAACCAGCCTTTCAAATATATTTGCTGCATTTAAATCACAATCATAGTTCACGTAGATGTCCACTACGCTCTGGGCATCTATAAACAAAGTGACATTGTCAAACTTGGAACAAAAACTAGATCATTCAATGAAAGGCAAGTACAGTTTTGTTCTTTAGCATAAAAATGTAAAAACTAGAACCAAATGGTCCTTGATACCTGCACATATCCTTGTCAGCGTTTGTATAACCATCCATTTATGATCAAATGAGCTAGTAGAAGTTTCCAAGATATACAGGAAAATTTCTTTGAAGAAAACCTAACAAATATTCCAGGAAGAGGGAAAAAAAAATAAAACCTGTTACAAACACAGTCACTAACTTTGATGGCCAATATTCTGACATAATTCTGAAAGCAGTACTTTAGAGGTACAGGTGATAAAGAAAAAAAAAAAGGAGGAAAGAAAGAAATACAACTTATGCTTGATACGTTCAAATTAGGAATTCGAATTATTACTCATGTACTTCTGGAGTTTTGTCCAGCTGAAGAATTTGGTTTATACTCTGATCACTCAAAAACAGAAGAACCAGGAATGATGTGAAGTCCTGAAGGACACTTTAGCCTAACAAGAAGTCTAAGATGCTTTTACAGTTCATTTGGGATTTTGAAAGGAGAGGTATTACCTCACTACAAAAGATTTTCTCTACAAGATGATGGTATTATGGCACAAACATAACAAACAGCTGCTGATGCCAATTTAAAAGTATCGGACTTTCATTAGAAGGGAAAGGTACTGACACAAAAGAATCACTCCATGGTATTAGATTATTGGAAGAAGGTTACTGGTCAGGCACAGCATAAAAAATGCAGCAGGTCCATTAATAGGAAAGTTAGTCTTCCGTGAAAGAGGTATTAGTTTTCCCTGAAATCGCTTTAGTACAGATGCTTTCATTTGGAACAGACACTATTTTATCCCCTTTCCATTAGTTCCTCACCACATCCATTAGTATTATAGGCAGACTATTTCAGCTGAGCATGCTTAGCAGCTAGGGCAGGCTTTTTCTCACTTCTTCCCTAAGCAGCAGCAACTGCTGTAACAGCATATGAACTCAGAATGTGAACTGCTACATGGCATTACATCACCATCCTACACAGCATTACATCATCGTTCTGCACTTCTGAGAGCTCACCTCTTCATAGCCAGCTGTGGCTACCAAATCCACCAACATAATGTTTTTTCTAGAACACTGCCAACAGTCTCAAGCCATCAAGCTCCTCTTCTGCGATAGCAGTGTGCAAATATCCAAATATGTAACTACCCTTGCTTTTAATACTAGATACTCCCTTATACCACAGAGATTTTTATGCTATTAGCCAGGTAGAGATAAGCATAAAGCTAATTTCGCTTTAAGTCACATGTTTGGGGAAAAACAGCAACATTGATTTTTAAGCAACTTTGATGGTAAGCTATTTCCTCAAGCAAAATGCACTAGCAATAGTTCCATTTTATTGGCCTCTTTAGAGAGAAAGAGGCACACAGCACAATCCCAGTTACTAGTCTTAATAAAGAAAGCATCTCTACGAAACATAAGGAGTTCAATATAGATCAAAGACTTTCAAGCGCTTAAATATACTCAAGAGTACTAGACTGATTTTAGCCACAACTGTATGTAATCCAAACAGAGAAAGACATACAGTGGTGTAATATATACTCTCTGGAATCAGGAAGATAATTTTTTTCTGGTAGAGAATTTAGAAAAAGTCGTCGTCAATGGAGCAGAGAAAAAAGTTTCAAATATAAAAATTAACCCCAAATCTAAGCTAGAAGAGAAATTAGCTGGAAGGTCTGCATACTACGAAGACTCTTTAGATCTCTGTGCTTCTGAGACAGAGCTGACTTCTTGCTTCTGGTGTCAACTTTGGACAAGCGTATCTTGGAATGATCAGCTTCTCAAAACCACACTGATTATTTACATTTCAGATATTTAAAAATGCTATCTGTCACTATGTTACTTATTGCAATTCACGTCACAGAGCTGAGACTTTATTCTTAGCATATCGGAAAAGTAAACCAGAAAAGAGCTAATTATTTAGTTTGGTCAACTGAAAATAAGAGTTTTAAGATAGCTTATTCACAGTTATGAAAGGATGGTAATGGTAACTATAGCTAAATGATACTCCAAATCCCCTGATATCTAGGACTTGATTTGCTGCAAATATATTCATTGACCCATTTAGAAATACAGTTACAATACAATTAAGGTACGACTCAAACTATTTTAACTGTCAGAGGGCAGTGTTAGCTGAATATTTAAGTCAAAGGACCAAGGGAGGGTCACTTTCAACAGAATCTGAAATGATTATTTTAAAATATGCCACAAATTTCTTACACAGATGAAGAATGCAGCCTCAATCCCAAAATATATAGATTTTGCATATTATAAATCAGAGCATATGGCTCCCCTTACAGCTCCAAGACACAAACTGAATGTGAAGTTATCTACTTGTCTACCCACATCTTCTGAATAACCTTTAGGATCAGTAGCTGAAAGAAGAGGAAATGTTAGCTCACAACCAGAAAAAAAAAGTTTCTAGAAATTGCTGTGCCCTGTACTTTGTAATAGATTGATACTTTGGCAGTATCAAGCTTTTGGCTTTCATATTTGTGAGGAGGAAATGCAGCCCTGCTATGTGGTGATGGTCCTAATTTAGCATTTCTAGAAGCTGCTACAATAGTGTAGGGTATCCTATATCCGATTTTCCTCAGAAACGTCTTCATTTTCTGTTTGGAATTTGGGGAAAGGATGACAGCGATGGAAGCTCATCAAATTTCTGTCAGGGAAACCGGATTGCAATGCATTTACCACCTACACACTGACTTGTAAGCTCTGCGAACATACAGTGAATCCAACACTTTCTGGGAAGCAGGCTGTGTGACTGAAGAGCAGCTCGGCCCCGTCTGTCTGATGTGCTGAACACAGCACATGCACTACAGTCTTGCTGAGCACACACAGTTTGTCTTCAAAGTCTTCAAAATGCATCATGTTTTCAAGGCACATTCAATCAATCATCAAACCTGTATTTCTATCCAAGCTATGCTCAAAGAAATACTGGAAATCCTGTTGTTTCTTCCCAAAAAAGGCATCAAAATAACCTGGTAAGTGATCAGAACACAATACCCTTCCGACACGGTACTGGCAAAACGAGGTTCTTCCTCCAAAGCTGCCACAACATACCAACTTATACAATGACATCCATAGATGAAGAAATCCCTGAATTCAAGGTCCTTACAACAGCAACATTATCAACATTTCTCAGCATCTTTTCACGTACTTAACCTCCACACTTAGGCGGCAATCTGTAGGCTTCAGTATTCACATCGACTCCCAAAACATAAAACTACCAAAATGAACAGTAGGAACACATTGCACACACTACCACTTTATTCACCATGGAATTAAGATCTTCAACACATGGGACGCACAAGAAGGTATCCATGTGGTTCAAATGGACAGAATTGTTCCAAGAAGCTGCTAGTACCCTACAAGAAGGCCCGGGTCCTGCACTTCAGCCACAA